CAAGAGCAGATCTGCGTAAAATCAAGTTTGCGGGTTTTGCCATGAGTGTTGTCCATACAACCCATGATTTAGGTGTCACCTTCAGTTCCACAAAACGCGCTACATCAGTGTCGATTTCTGATAGGCTGACGTCCAACCAGAGCAAGTTGGACCGGCTGCAGATGTCGCCCTGGAAGTCATATAGGAAGTGCAAAACGCTTCAAAGGGTTATTGCACCCTCTATACTGTATGGGTCATGCTTGGCGTCCACTCCTCCGTCATTGCTGGCAACGATGTGAGGAAAATTCTCTGTTGCAATCTGGGGACGAGGAAGCCACCGAAACCATCTTTTGGCTCCGTTGCTGTCTGCAGCAGACGTTTATGAACCTTTCCATTGGATCTTCCGTGATAGGCTACAAGCCCTTCGTCGCGCAGCTTGCCAGCAACCTGAAGCAACCCTCAGGCGATGGAATAAGCTCAGCCAATCAGCCAGTGCGTCAGGACCGTTTCGATATTTTGTCGAGTTCATTCGCCTGACTGGGTGGACAGCACAACGAGATTTTCAGGCGCAGACCTCAACGACAAGCCTGAACCTTGTCAATTCCTCTGTCAGGGAAGTTTTGGAAGTTATGCGACAAGATTGGTTGACCCATGTGGCAGACAAACTTGCGGACAAGGAGGAATGGTCTGGACTGCACTGGATAGATTGGAAGTTCACAAAAGCGGTACGAGATCATGCCAAATTTGATGCTGCGTCCATTGGAAATTTCACTACAGGTGCAGCCCTCTTTTCTGACCAGAAGAAACATTTCCTTCATGAAGACAGCGTTTTGTGCATGCATTGTGGCCAACATGACTCGCAGGAGCACCGAATTTTCCATTGTAGTTTCTACGACAAAATTCGACAGCACCGTCCAATGCAGCTTCTGGAATCTTTGCCACAATTGCAAACCCATAAGGGGCTCTTTCGAAAACCTTATGCGATCCAGCAGTGGGAAACTTTGGTGCATGGAATCCCCCTACCGGATTTCTTTCAGGAGTTTGATGATCATGTGTACATTGTTACAGATGGTTCAACCTTCTCTCCTTCGACAGTCCCCTGTAGTGCCTGGTCTGTCGTGCTTGCAGAGCCTCATGTCATGGATGCGACCATTGTTGAAACTGGTTGGTTGAATGGCAGTCAAGATAATTACCGCGCGGAGTTGTGTGCAGTCTGGGTGGCAATCCAACACTGTGCTTGTGCAACGATTTTTGTGGACAACGAGGCAGTTGTTCACGGGCTGCGTCGCTTGCAAATTTGGGGGCGGCAGTCAACTCACTGGGTGGGCCATCAACACTTTGACCTCTGGCAAAAACTTTGGTCTGCTTGGTCCCAGAAAAATCCCCAAAGATGGGAAGTCCTGCATGTCCATGCTCATCAGGACATGGCAGCTGCGAAAACATGGCATGAAGCGTGGTGCATTTACAACAATGCAGTGGCAGATTCTGCAGCCCGACATCGCAATCAAGCTCGTCCCCAGGATCAGACAACAGCTCTTGCTCTGGCTCGGATGGAGTTCCGCAGGGTTGCTGACCAGGCTTCTCATATTTTTGGGCTGCAGCGTGATATTCTGCACTTGGCAAAACAGAATGGAAACAGATCCAGTCCCCAGCAGCCCTCCGAGCGTGTGTGGGGGCGAACTTTCAATGTTGCTGCCTACATTGTTCAACCCACCGAGGCGATGCTCTGTCCCAGGTTTCTGTCAGTTTTGGCATCTTTCCTACAAGGGGAGTGGATTGCTTGCAATCCCCCGATTAGCTTGCTTGAAGTGTACATCAGTTTTGTAGCCGCAACTGGATGGCTAGTTCCTATCAACGTATCAGACTGGAAGCAGACCTCCGTGCCGATTCAGTGGAGGTCAGGGGCGGCGTCATCTTGGTTGCATGAGTCTTCTTGGAGCGAACTACTGCACGCTCGTCAACCGTTGAGCAAGCAGATAAAAACCTTTCAACATGCGATGAGACGTCTCTTGAGCACCATGAAGATCGAAGCAAGCTTTGTCAAACACGCAGCTCTCCACTCTTTTGGGAAGCAGGGTAAGGTCCAGTGCATGACTGCTGTGCCTGTAGCTTGTAAATATTCTCCCGAAGCCCTGACAGCTCTGATCCGGAGACAACCTCTTTCAGAGCTGTTTAGAGCGACTTTCCATTCTTCCAGAGCTCCAGTTCCTTGCGAAATGGAGCAGGTAAATCCCTCAGTGCTGTGGAACCTGTATATGCGCAACAGATGAGATGGGCACAGTCCCCTGTCTTTTCTGTCTTAGTCCTCTTTTCTTAGTTGCCTTTGGCCGACATGTCGCCCGAGGTGCCGGATTGTCCGACTGCATGCATAAATAGTACTTTCCATTTTAGTTTCCATTATCCAAATATAACCCCTATATAACCCCGACATAACCCCTACATAACCCCTATAAAACCCTATACAACCATTGCATCCAGGAAGCGCTCGCCGTAGCGTCTCTCAGGGCTGCAGGCCTCAGCACTGCTGGCACAATACTAAAAAAGTATATAGGGGCTACTCTAGTATATTGCATGGGGCTATATATTGGAAAAATGAAAAAGAAAATGGAAACTACTCTAATATATTGGGGCTATATATTGGGATAATGGAAAAGAAAATGGAAACTACTATATCATACCGGGGTATATATACTGGGATTATACCAGTTTGGCAGCTGACCAGTCTAAGGTTTAAGGGTCTAGGTTTCAGGGGTCTAAGCACCTGAAAGGGGGTAGATCATGTAGGGTTTAAGGTTCAGGGTTAGTCCTCGGCATCTATGTATAAACAAACTTTGGTAGGATATGTCCTCAAAGCCGTGGATGCCCCCTGCCCTAAACCCTATACAAACCTGTAACACCCTGCATCCCACTGCATATGTAGGTACATGTACCTATAAACCCTTACAACCCCTCTAGAAGCGCTTGCAATTACTAGCCAAACCCTCGAACTCAAATTTTCAGATCCCTTCCTAGACCCCTCCAGTACCCTCTATAGAGCCACTTGTAGTTAGTAGGGAATAAGGGAATGTAATCCCTATATAGTATCTTCCCTTATTCCCTACTAGACCTAAGCCCTAAGCCATGAACCCTAAACCCTAACCCTAAACCCTAAACCCTAAACCCTAAACCTATAGTATAGCCCCTTATTCCTTACTAACACCCCGTAAGACTTCTGAAGACCGAGAAGCCGCTGAAGAGTTCCGCGACCCCCGAGAAGGTGAGGCACCGGAGGAGCTCGACCTGCGACTGAATATGGGTTTAGGGTTTAGGGTCTAGGGTCTAGGGTTTAGGGTTTAGGGTTTAGGGTTTAGGGTCTAGGGTTTAGGGTTTAGGGTGTTGAGGTTTAGGTCTTAAGGTGAAAGGGTTGAGGGTTTAGGGCTTATCTCGGTTTGAATTATGGGCCCCTGATATGGGCCCTTAAGCATATTTAGGAGGATTCCAGGGACCCTTACGGTTACATACAGGGTACATAGCAAATAAAAAGGATTCCAGCATTAAGGGCCCATACTAGCGACCTACGGTGTCAACCTTCGAGTTTAGGGTCTGGGGTTTAGGGTTTAGATGGTTTAGGGTGTAATCCTAATAAGGGGGGTAATATTAGGATAAGGGGATTAGGGATTTAGGGTGTAGGATTTAGGGTTTGGGACTTAGAGCCTTCAGAGTTTAAGGTTGGGGGCCGGGCTTGGGGTTCAGGATTTCACGTTTAGGCTTTGATGGGTTTTTGGGGGGTGGGTACCCTAAACCCCAAACCCGAAAACCCCAAACCCCTAAACCCTACACCCTGAAGGATTGCTTGAGGCTGGTCCAAGATTTGGGGAGGCTGATCTGCTGTACTTTCGCCGGGTGAAATGAGCCATAGTCTAAACTCCTAGTATTACTATCCCCTTGTATAGGGTGTAGGGTTTAGGGTCTAATCTCCTAGCATCCCCCTTAATATCCCCTGTAGTCCCCTATATAATCCCCCATGAAAGCCCCTTTAAGGAGTACAGACTATAGCTCATATGGAGATTGCGGAAATGTGTATATAGGGTCATGGCCTCATGCAGACAGTAGGTGCAAACGTTCCTGTGAGTTATTATCCTGGCTGTAAGGGCTTCCATGTCTGACTGACTGTGGCTTGAACAGCCGTCAATGTAAGGCTTCGTGAGGCCCTAATTGTTTGGGGCCGTGCAAGCCAGCACTGCTGTGATTCTGTAGGGGTTGTAGACGGGTTTTATATAGTTATATGGGAATCATGTAGGGTTACGTGGGGTTCAGAGACATTACCCCAACAATGTAATAATAGCAAGAGTAATAAAGAAAAAGTAGTAATAGTAATAGTAAGAATAGCAAAATGATCCTGCAGCACCTGTTCCGGCCACCAGCGCCGCGCTGCACATATCTCTTGCCTTGCCGAGGCATGAGCGTCAAATCCATTCAGCCCATGATCTGCGATCCTGCAATTTCAGGGGTTCCTGGGTTGTACCCCTAAGGTCGTACCCCTGAAATATTTCCCCCAATATGGCCTTAATATAGCCCTTATATGAGGCAATGTAGTCCCCTAAGATCGCTTTGAATTATCCCAAAAACACAAGTGCATAATTTTAGGGGTTCAAGCCTGAAACCATTGATGAATCAGATGGCTGCTTTGAGGACAACCTCAGCCCGGAAGCAGGCCTACCAGGATCTCATTGTGATGACGTCCAGCCTTCATGCAAGCACACCCGCATGAGCTTGCATCCAAAAAATGCAAGCAACAACAATCAGCTCCTAACTGGTTCCGATGCTGGACAGGGGCCTCGTGATTAGCTCCAAACTCTTGTGCAAACCCACTTGCTGCATGGCACCATGGAGCCTCTTGCTCTGGTGGTGGGGATGGCCGCCGTGCGAAAGACCCAAAGCTACCTCAATCAACTGAGGGTTCGAGGCTCGCGTGAATCACAGTGCTGGCTCCCAGTCTCGTCAAGCCTCTGAATTGTCACATGCAAGCCAAAGACCTGAAATCAGTTCAAGACCACAACAAGACCTCCATGCCCAATCAACATCCTGCATCCACAAAAGCTTCCTTAGGCGTAGGGGTCGCAAGGGGTAACTTCAGACCCTCCTCTGGGCGCTTAACAGAAGCGCCAAAACTGCCAAGAGGCCATCCGGAGCGAAGGGCACTACGCCATGCCCTTCCACTGTCATCCTGAACATTTAATACCATGCGAGAGGTTGGCAAAGTTGCGGGTCCGCCTCCATGGACTTACATGCGTATACCAGACCCCACCGCAACATCCGCTAATCTAGGCCTTCAACCCTGTACCCTACCTCAAGAGTAAACCTTTGCAAAACCTCCACATCAGCCGTCTGCTATGTACATAATGCCATTCTGCCACCAACGCATTCCCGTTATAATCTCGGCCACAATTGCCACCAAAGCTGACCCCAACCAAATCGGCATACACCACTTCAACAACGCATGCTTCATCGCTACAAGGGTATTTTGCAATCAAGCAGCCAGTTTGGCACCACCAAATGCAGAATGCCCTATAAGACACAGTACTCCAGCCGGCCCGTAGCGTTCCGAATGACTCATCACTGCTATTTGTACTGGGGGAATTTCTCAAGACCAGGGCCCCTCCTAAAGAACTATTATGAGAAAGATCTCTCCAAAAAACATTCTAAAATAGGCTCTACGCAATATGATATGACATTGTACATCATAAAACAAGTAGACGTCATCTATAACATGGTGTAGTATGATACAATACTAGCAGCAATAACAGGCAGAACAAGAACAGCATGAAGGATCATAATTAATAGTAGTATAGCAGGGTATGGCGATACACGATAATGTAGTGAAACTTTCGCAGAGACAATGTGTGGGCATGTGTATATACACACACATATATATATATGCACACTAGACGGGCACGCATGTATATACCCCAACATAGACCCAAAACTACTATAATCCTTATTATGGGGACCCCCAAAAAGGTACCCCTAATTTTGGGAAACTCCCATATATGCCTACTCAAGGCTTCTTGGCCACGGTGCCAGGCAGAGGGTGAGGGGCTTCGGGGCGGTGGCGACCGCGGCATCCGAGGCGGGGACCTGCGGCGAAATGTGCAACATCTCTTGGTTTGTTGTTTTGTTCGGTTTTGAAATGGCATTTTGGGGTCTTGGGTTCTTGTGTTTAAAGGCTACCCCGCCCATTCTTGTCCTGGGAGAGGGGTACTGTTGGGGCTGGCTAATACGCGCAGCAACGGCCTACAAGGCCCCAAAAATAGTAATAAAAACCTTCTCTACACCTGGAGCCTGAATCAACACAAAGCTTACAAAGGAACCCCAAGCGATCTCAAGAAGCCTGTTAGCCAGCAAAGCCGTGTGCCTCCACAGACAGAGTTTCACACGGTCATAATGTCTATACATGAATACATACATATTCATATTGAGATGTATGTGCAAGATATGCTGTCGTCCGCAATTATGTTCCATGGCTATGCCACCAAGGTGAGAATTTCTTTGAAGAACGCCTGGGATTAGGAATATCCCTAGTTTTCAACACTCCCATGAAAATGCTCGATACGAGTATGTCCTTGGAGGGCCAGGGGACTTGCCTAGCCTTAGTGAATCTACTCCAACCCGCACATGCTATATGATAACATCCGTCGTCCCCAAAATTAAGCTTACTAAGTTACCCCCACCCTCCAAATACCCTGAACCCTAAACTCTAAACCCCAAGCCCTAAACCCCAAACCCCAAAACCCTACACCCTAAACCCTAAACCCCGTACCCTCAACTCTAAACCCCAAACCCTAAAGCCTAAACTCCAAACCCTAAACCCAAAACCCCAAAAGCCCAAAACCCCAAAACCCGAACCCCAAAGCCCGAACCCTAATCCCCAAACCCAAAACCCCAAAACCACTCGCAGAGGCCTGGATGGCGAGAGCCTGCTGCGCAGATGGCTCAAAGCGTCGGTCCGAGCCTTGGACCAATGCTGTCAACTTACTGGGAGTTTGTGGGGAACATGTGATATTACCCCCAATATGGTTAGGGTTTAGGGAAAATCAAATGGAAACTACTGTAGTATATTGGGGTTATATAGGGTTTAGGGTTTAGGGTTTAGGGATATTACCCCCCCAATAATGGAGAATCAAATGGAAAAGAAAATGGAAAATGAAATGGAAACTGGGATTATAGGGTAGTTTATAGGGAGTAGGGTTATATGAGCTGTAGTCTAAACTCCTTAAAGGGGGGTTATGTAGGGGAGTATGCGGATGATGTACGGATTATGTAAGGATTTTCGGGAACTTACTGGCAGTTAGTAGGGAATAAGCGAATATATTATAGGTTCAGGATTTAGGGTCTAGGGTTTAAGGTCTAGGGTAGGGAGTAAGGGAATATAATGTGGGGATAATAGTCCTTACTAAGCACCAGTAAAGATGAGGAATTTAATCTAAGCTAACATACTAGGGGAACCATAGTGTACATATTATGGTAACTTCTTTAAGTTCCTGAACAGCGACCCAGTAGACATTTTGGTTTGGGACTTGAGGTTCCTCAACGTGAGATACCCTTCATTGGAAAGCTCGGAGCTCTGCTCAGGACTAGGGTTTAGGGTTCTCAAAAAAAAATGCTCACCTGGAATTTCTTCAAGTGCAGAAATCCAGCCTTATGTTGTCTCAGTCTAGCGACAAAAATACCAAACCAAAAGAGCATCATGGAAAATTTGGGAGGCACTGCCTTTTGCATGAGGGGGTCCCGAACAGGCTTACATCAATTCGTGAAGTTCGGATCGTTCCACGTGCTGTGCCGCCCCTCTTGGAAGAACGCTTGGGGGTTTCGCAAATTTGGGGGAACCATTTTAAGGGGTCCCCATAGTAAGGATTATAGTATTTGGGGATCTATGTTGGGATCCCCCTATTTGGGGAAAGTACCGTTTTGCTTTAAGCTTAGCCAAGCCACTCGCGTATGGGCGTCCTCCTCAATTTCCTCCTCACACGCTCGCATGCACCCACTCAATCTAAAAGTCCACTACAACCTAGACTTGACTGGTGTGAGCTGCAGGCAAAGCCTTTGATATAGCCAAATTGCTGCGGGACCTCAAGTCCCTTCCCCCATCCCGTCCAAGATATCAGGGCCGTCGTAGAACAGGGTCTTGCGATTTGGTGAGAAGTCCTGATGTGCAGTGGGCGCGCAAGCCAGCACAAAGGCTACGGCAAGTCCCCCAGCCATGGCTAGATACAACACCGTGTCTCGGCCGCAAGCACATCCAAGGCCTGAGAATCCATCCATTTTGGATTGCTATGTAAACCACAGTCTGTGGTGAGGTCGCTATACTTTGGCCGTTCGTCTGGGGTGAAGTCGCTATACTTTGCCCATTCTCCTATTGGAAACTCCCCAACTGCCTTCTTCTGCCGCGCGGGAAGTCCACCGCCAGTGCCCCCATCATTGCTAGGCGCCTAGGTTGAGTTTACGGTTTAAGGTTTCAAGTTCAGGGTTTGGGGCTTAAGGTTCAATGCTTGGAATTTTGGAGTTCAGGGTTTGGGGATTGGTGCATTGTTTGAGGTATAGGGGTTGAGAAGCTGGATAACAACGCAGAAGCAACTTCCAAAGATAAATGCCACAGGCGCCATGCCCATCAGCGGGATGAAAATGCGCCGGCCTGACTGAACAAGAATCTCCCCTAACCCCCCCTCCAACTAATACATATTCCTTACAATATATAGGGTTGCTGTATATGCCCTTATTCCCTACTAAACACCAGAGAGTGACAAGAGATATGCTCCTTACATTTTAATCCCTTCCGGCTTATATGAAAAGCACCCTAATATTAATCAGGGGCCGAAATCTCCTCATGATTACTTTCAAAAGGGAAGACGCCACCTAATCATGAAGTAGGGCGGCTCACTGAATAATGAAGGATTAAGCACGTAACTGATTAATTTTTTGAACAGCCATTGAGTTATTGACAATCTAAGATTATTGACTTATTATTCAGTTTCCATGGAGTTTAAAGGGATGTTTGAGGCTGCCCTATCCAATCCTTTCATTAAAAAAAACCGCCCTGTTTTCAAGTAATTGTTCAGGCCCTGGATGATTTAATATTAGGGGCGGGGAGGGGGGTCATTTAATCTTAGGGGGAGCAATTATAATGCTACTACACCAGAGGTGCTTTCGAGTAAGCAATAGCCCTGTGTGGTGGATACGTTCCATAAATCTTCCATCCATTTTATAATGGTGCTACATTAGGGGTCCTGATTAGTAGGGAGTGGGGGATAGTATGGCCCTATGTTGTGGATACTCTTCTGTGTCTCGCAGCAGTGAAAAGACACCAAAAACCTTGAATGAAGTGACATTGAGCTACGAGAGCGACACATGCTGGTGGCTACAATACACCATACATCATGGATCCGCGTGAACAGCAGTCGCAAGGCCATCAGCATATCTAGGTGCTCATGAGCAGATAGATCCTGTTCCGAACTACCATGGAATCCCATATATGTAAGCGCTCTTCAAGAACTATGCACCTTTTCTAGCTTTATGTTACTTTCTGGGAGGGTACGTCGCAGCAGCCATTTGCCTGGATGCATCTCCAGGAGGATGCTCCGCCGCGACTTCACCTGAGCAGCAGGACATATCTGCCACAGTAACCCAAACATATGGGTCCCGTGAAATAAGGGTCCCTTGTTGGGTGTACCGATACAAAGGATTAAAATATTTTGGGGCCTCCAATTTTTGGAATCTACCATATTAGTGGGCTGTGTTTGACTTTAACTGGTAGGCCAGAATTAGCCCAACTGAAACATCATCGGCTTGGCGGCTTCTTAGCTTTGTCCGAGCAGCCTAAACCCTACACCCTATACCCTAAACCCTAAACCCCAAACCCGATACCCTAAACCCAAACCCTTAACCCAGCCTGTCCCAGGCCTGGACCCTGCCAACAAGCTTTCTACGTCTGAAGCGGGGGCCTCCCAGCAATTCAGAAGGGTTCTAATGGGACCCCCAAACAGGGAACCCCAAGAATATAGTAGGAATATGATAGAACATAAGGACACTGGTAGGCATATTCCTATGATATTCCGAATACATTATTGGGGTTCCCTATTTGGAGTTCCCAGTAGAGTCCCTTTACAATTTGTGAGTAAGGCTCCACTCCCCTGGTAGCCCACACAAATGATCATGATAACAATATCAATACAAGTAGTGCAACTCCGAACAATAACAGACATAGAAATAGCAAAAGTAATATTAATAAGAGTCATAATGATACTATTAATAGTACTACTAGTAGAAGTAATACTGTTGATACTAAAAATCCTGCATGACCTCAGTCTACTATAGTCCCATAATTCCCAAGGTATAAGGTACTTAGGGTCATGCAGGATTTTGAGCATCCACCGTAGCAATCATTTAGATTCAGAAAACCTGAAGCCGAGGGGCTAAATGGCCAATGATGCGAGCCGCATGGCGGCTCCACCGCTTGACGAGCGCGGCAAACCTCGGACTTTTTTTTAAAAGCCACTGCTGTTACTCTTCTTACCATTATTACCATTATTACCATTATTACCATTATTACCATTATTACCATTACTACCATTATTACCATTATTACCATTATTGCTCTTATTACGACTACTACTATTGGTCATTGCTAGTTTTACTGTCATTATACTTTTACTTTTGCTATTGTCCTTACTATTAGTAGTATGTAGCTTATCAAAAGTATTACCCTCAAGCCGACTCAAACTTGTAGATGATAGGTCAGAGAGGCAACTCGACCTGACGAGCGACCCGGAAACCGTTTGCAAACCATCGCATCCTACCGCATCACGCTCATGCTCCCTGCGCAAACTTGAGTCTTCCTAACGGCACGCATGTCTGGAAACTGCTCAGCTCACACAGCCACAAGCCCGAACCCTTCGTTGTGACAAGCTTCTCCAACGGATGCGTGCTCTCATCCAGCATGACCTTAAAGGCCCACAGCTACCCTCAAATTCAGGATGCGTGCCTTCCTTTACACCATGACTCCATGTCCGACTATCTCAGCCATAGCTTCAGATGGCACTCAAATGGCATGACCCCAAGGGTACCTACGAACATGCAGGCTGATGCCAGCCTGGGTGATGCCCTTTCCGAAGATAGCATCGCGCAAGCCAATGTCTTCCTCCGATCGGGCCAGCTCAACCATGTCCACATCCCAGACTGGAGCTCCACTGTTTACACCCAAAACATCATAAATGCCAAAACTCAAATGTTCAGTCACTATGTTGCGGCCCGAAAATCATCTGGCATGTCGCATTCCATCAGGAAGTGGACTCCCTCCAGGACTTCCTGGAGCCTCTCAAACACACGCACACACACACACACAGAGACACCATGCAGCGATCTAGCAGCGTGACGCATCAAGGGTCCATACATTTGTATCGCAACAGGCCACTTATTTGCCATAGACATTGCTCAAGTGGATGAGCTCAGGAAGCCTTTTCAAACAACAGTTCACATGACAAGCCGTGCATTTGCAGACAAGCAGCTCGGCTCTGCGCATGGAATTCAACCTCAGACTGCCCTCTCTACATGCGGCAAGTCGAAACTTGAGCATCAGACCTAGAAAGCGTGTCATCAGAATCATTCACAACTCCATCCCTGCTCCCCCAGCTGCAGCCCAACACTTCAGATGTGTCTTGTCAAGTGAGCTTCGCCTGCACAGCCTATTGGCGTTGCCCTCACTGCAATACAACCATGCTCAGCGGCATCTCAATGAGCTGGTCATACCGCGCAAGCCGGCTCCTGACTGCGCAGCCAGACCCGATACCCTTCATTGAGGAAATACTGAAGCGTGATGAACGCCAGAAAGGGCCACCATGATTGGGGGTAAGTATTGGGCTACCTTGTCGTCGTTCTTGACAAGTGGGCAATGAGTAGCTCATCTGACTACGCACTGTCAGAGGCACATGCAAGTCCTCACTCCCTGGAACAGCCGAAGGAACGCCCCACGCGAGCCTAAGCATTCTCGGGATGAGGCACCAGCATCGCCACCATACGCTGAACAAGGGACCCTCGCTTTGAGGAACATCCATGGCTGCACTGCTTCGCGGCTCCAGGCCGGTAAAAAGCTAGCAAAAGCAGCAGATGAGTGGACAGAACCTGGACAATCTGGACTTTGTGTCCTTGAACTCGGGCAGCCGCAGGCTACATTTCTCTGGTTCAACATCCAAGCCCCACATCTAGACAAGCAATAACTTGCAGACCCTCATCCAACCTGCTTCCTGGGCGCATCGGCCGTTGCCCTGGCCCTTCGGAGGTAGCTGGGACAGCCGTATCGCACCCAGAGCGGGCCTTGCAAAACCAGCAAATCAGGCACGACAAAACCAGCCAAATCACACACGGCGATACGGGAATGGCTCCAAATCAATCCGATTTTCACAGAAAGCGCTGCAAATTAAAAGACGTTAAGAGATGCAGAAAATCCCAAACACGGGTAAACTTGGGGGCCAAGGGGCATGTAGGCGCTCTGCGCGCAGGCTTTGAGGTCCTGCACAGCTGCAGGTCTCACTTAGCCTTCAAGGATGTCTGCTACACAGTGCAGCACGGCAGCAATTGAATCCATACTGACAAGACAAGTAGGGTCTGCCTGCGTACCGAGAAACTGTCCCCATCATGAGGTCCCCATGAAGCACGTGTGTGCTGAGAACCGCTTAAACCTCAAACGCCATACTCCCCTTGCACATATGCTTGCATACTCACAAACAAACAAACATACATACCTACCTACCTACCTACATACCTACTTAGCTAACTACCTACATGCCTACATACATGCCTAAATACATACCTACAGGGTTTGGGGTTATACATATATGCATCTATTTTATATGCATCTATTTTCACATGTTCAAAAAGTCAGCTTATATGCCACCTACACTTTGGCTCCGGTCCTACTGTAGATGGAGGAAATCTCGCACCAGTGTAATTACCTAATACCCCAGGAATTACAGTACATGGGGGGCATCCTAAGTAGCACCAGATTTCCTACACCCATCCAAGCCCTAAACCCTATAACCCCTAAACCAATACAACTAAACCTTTTTGCAACAGGCTCTAGACCTAAACCCTAACCCTCAACCCGAAACCCTGAACCCCAAAACCCTAAACCCCAAACCCTGAAACCTTAATCCTAAA